GGGTTCTGGCAACCCACGGGTAATGAATGGTGATAATGAAGATAATCCGAAAAAACAACAACATTTTATTCACAAAAGGAAGGAGCGGATTTGCAGGTTGTGGAAAGTAATTATGCCGCAAACTCCAGCAAATGATTTCCATGAAAAACATTTTTCAATTCAGTTTTTCATATTAAATATAGTAGTGATAATGAGAGTTTTGGGAAATGTATAATTACTGAATAATGACTCCTACCCTGTCAGTGTTGACCCCGCCAAGGCTTCGAAGCAGAGAGGAAAGTGGAATTAGTAGACTCTCCACTAAAAACATGTTTATATTAACTTAACTTAATATGGCCATTGCAATGTACTCACCTACTGGTAATTATTCCACAAACACTGGCCTGTGATTAAATTAGGCTCGTAACCCGACACCGGCATATGATTTAGGCTCGTTTGCCGGTATTTACGGGATATTAGCCTTTTAGAAATTAAATTTAATAAAACACCTTTCAAATGGATGAGTTGTATTATGATGCTGTAAGATAACTGACGAATTAGTTTATGCATTATTAAGTAAATATCGGAGTCAAATAATGTAGGTACAGTATTTATGAAATATATTAGTTAACAAAGTATAAGATAGAAGAGCATTTGTGAGTACAGGGTGTAATAGTGGCCACACTTAGATAAATACAGGATTTAGTTGGAGCCATAATTAGTGAAGTACTGAGGGTCATATGTAGATGAGTATAGAGGGTCAAATGTAGGTGATTACCAGGGCCACATATAGGTGATTACCAGGGCCACATATAGGTGATTACCAGGACGCCACATTTGGCTGATTGCAATGGGCGCATATAGTTAAGTAATTATATGGGTCAAAGTTAAGTGTGTACAAGGACTATATTTAAGGACGCAAGGACCATATTTAAGGACACAAGGACCATATTTAAGGACGCAAGGACTATATTTAAGGGCACACAAGGGCCATATTTAAGGGACAATAGGGGCTATATTTAAAAAAAAGAATCATAATTAAGGGACCATAAGGACCATATTTAGGCGTGTACGAGGTGTAACAGGAGCCTTACTGTGGTCACTGAGCCTCGTGCCAGCTGGGTGCCTTCCGGTGGGCGGCGGTCATCCCAGGTCACAAATGGTCAACTGGGATCACCTTGATGGGTCAAAGGTCAGGAAGTTGTGGTGACGGCACGCGTCCCACCCCAATCATTAGGGGAAGTGTGGTGCCTGGTGTTATCTTGGGGGTGGACGCTCCTTCACAGGGCAGTTGAGAGAGAGTGCCAGAGGGAAGGAGGGCCAGGAGAAAACCCACCAACCAGCAGCTGCACACCCTGGCCAGCAGAGTCTGGCAAAAGATAGAACGTTCAGAGCAAGAACTCCTTCAAAGACTCCCACCTGACAACGACAACAACCATACATGGTTCCCAAAAAGTTATCAAATCTCAAAAGGTCCATTACCACCCCCTGTCTATACGGCCAGGCAATAGACAACCTCCCTAGACCAGCATCCTCCAGTAGGGTTGGCGGAATATGAAATAAGGCTCTCAAAACACCCATATATGGGATAGGGGAGGCTGTCTAGTGCCTGTACCGACGAACAATAACTAACCCATGACACAACCCTAATACACTATTAGCTTAGCTAACCCATGCAAGGCGGTCATCCCGCCTCCTCCTAAATTTCTTCAATTTCCGAACTAAAACTTCCGTCCTCCACCTCTAATCTGTTTTCACCTCTTCTTTCTCTACAAAAGGGGAGGGATTGTAAGGGAAGGTAATTTATAAAATGGGTTTTCATTTTTTCTTACATACTGTATATAAATCGTGTGATGGTAAGGCCATAAACATGTACGAGTAGACAGTCACTTGAGATGGGCCTCTCGCGTGTTGAAACAGATACTGTTATCCATAAAAGGTATATTTATAGAAAACCGGATATGATGATACGCTTCACGTAATGTTTGCTTTAATTCCACCCATTTTGGCCGATTCATCAGATGTATGAACGAACGCCTTCCCTGACCGTGGCGGTAAAAATTTACTCCCGGGAACCCCCCCTCCCTTTCCCCTTACGCCGCCTGTCCTTATAGCTCGCCCACGCTATGGAGACCCCGGCTCACGCTCGTCAGGCCCTCGCTACTGATATAGCCAGTTCCAACTCAGTTTTGTTGTTGAACACAAATTTTGCATTTTTCACAGTCTGCGTAAACCTTTTAGCCTACCATTAAATAATAGCTACGTTAACAGTGGACGTGGTGGGTCCCGCGGGGTGTTCTCACGGTAAGCGGTGTTTCCGGTAGCCGTCCGTACACTTGACATGATCACTTAAAGGTGTCAGAGCCTTATACTCTCCCTTGTCATGGTGTTTCTCTTATAGGTTCAGCATCAGTAATTGTTTAGATATATAATGTTGTTTACAAAAAAAATGGTCTGCAATAAATGGGAATGGTTTCTTATTTTGTATCGAAAATATTTTATATACGATTGTTGAATAGTGTGATATGTATGCATATAAAATAATATTTGTGTGTGCGCGCGCACGCGCTACTATAGTTACACAAGTATCGTGTGGTTATGTATTTATATAGTTTGCCAAGTTTGTATAGATTAATTTTCCAATCAACATGCAAATTTGTCCTGGTATTTAAACATTGTAATGGTCCATTTGCAATTCAACAAATCTTACTTTGTGTGTAGTGGTTGTGGAGCCGACTAGTGCTTGGAGGAAGGCTCTTATCTCTCTGTTATATACTGTGTTGGGAAATTGGTTGTCTTGTACACTTTTGTCTTGTGATCAAGGTCAGGTCGTTGTCTTGTACACTGTTGTCTTGTGATCAGGGTCAGGTCGTTGGCTTGTACACTGTTGTCTTGTGATCAGGGTCAGGTCGTTGTCTTGTGATCAGGGTCAGGTCGTTGTCTTGTACACTGTTGTCTTGTGATCAGGGTCAGGTCGTTGGCTTGTACACTGTTGTCTTGTGATCAGGGTCAGGTCGTTGTCTTGTACACTGTTGTCTTGTGATCAGGGTCAGGTCGTTGTCTTGTGATCAGGGTCAGGTCGTTGATTCAAGTATGAGTAGCTACAGGAGGTACAGTGACTGTATTTTGTATTATGGTTAACTGCATCCCTTGTAATTATTGGTTAATTTGTTCGTATTTCGCTTTTTAATAACTACATTCAAAGTTAGGATGCGGCGGCCGAGTGGATACAGAGGTCGCCTCCTGGCTTAAGACTCGCTGGTTTGCACTCTGCGCATCTCCAGTTCACCTAAACCTAAATGTACAGTTGGGTGAAATGAAGGCGGTCGAGTAAAGTGCCGACCACTTAATATTCAGTGTGCTGTATCCGCACAGTATTGTATTTGAAGAACTTTTAGTAGAAAGGCTTGTCAGTTTGAATTTTGAAATGCGGATATTCACAAATATGTTTTGTTTAAAAAACAGGCTGACTAACTGATGTTTACATCGTCAGAGAGGTATTCTGTACAGTGAGGGGTACTCCCGCCCTGCTGCTCCGGGAGGAGGACCAAGGTTTATGTGCCTTCTCGTTGTGTGTTTGTCTGTATATCCAAGAGTGGTGGACGTAATGACCTGGAGTGATGACACCGGATTTTTACCAATTTGTTATATAGATATACCACAACAAGTTCTCATGAGGTCATAATTAATGTTGTGTGACTATTGACTCGCATTATGGCACCTTGGACTGTGTCGTGACGGAGAGGGAGGGACTTGTACTGCTCGGCTTGTTCCTAACAGTAGTTTACTATAGGTTGGTAGTACTTAAGGAAGTGACTTAGCTGACCATTTCTGCTTGTGTGAGATACCTATAAGGCTTGGCGTATGTTCTCCAGTGCTGGCTAAGTAGCGATTGTTGGACAAAGGCCCACCTAACGTTCCAGGTTATAAAAGCATTGAAAGTAACTATTAGCGGTGAGATGTTGGTGAGATGTAATCAGTGAGTAATAGTCTGGTAAGATTTTGTTCATTGTATATCTTTGGTGGTGAGGTGGGTCGCCCTGTCTGCTGCCATTATATAAAAGTAACACATTGCTGAGTGGGATTTTCTCCTCTTAGCTTGTGTAAAATATATAATATAGTACATTATTAATTTAAGGGGGGAATTTTTTTATTTGTTGTCAGATTTGTTTTATTATTTTTGTCGCTTAAGTTGTTGCCGCTGTACATTTTTCTCTCTGTTGGTGAGAGAGAGAGAGAGAGAGCCGTTGCGGTCTTACAATCATTAATCTCCTGTGTACTACCTGCGGGTTTTTCATTTATTGATGTATGTATGTATGTGTGTGTGTGTGTGTGTGTGTGTGTGTGTGTGTGTGTGTGTGTGTGTCAGTCAGATGAGAGAATAAGTGCGTCATCTAGTACATAAACGGTGTATTTATGCGTCAGTGTGTACCAGAGTCTGGAGTCAATGCATCAGTTTATATTTACCAGTGCGCAAGTGGTGCATGAAACTGTGTATTTTTGTGAGTCACTGTTTAAGTCAATGTGTGAGTCAAAGTGTGAGAGGGTGACACGTGAGGGTGTGTATATCGAGTGTCACACGCTGCCTCCCTCACTTCCTTACATGAGTATTTCCGGCGAAAGATTAAACTTGCCATCTGCTGTGCTTATTGACCTCCTGGTGCCTCCTACCCCCGCTCCTGATATATATACCTGGTGATGTCCTATGTAGCCCCTGTCTGTACTCGTGGTGATATGCTGGTGATCGTGGAGTGTGCATGTTACCAAGGCCGAATGCTTCATCTGTACATAATAAGCCAATAAGTACATACTGTATATATATTTTTTCTTCTAATACCAATAAAATAAAATGTCATATAATGTTTGTTTCGTTTGTGTCAGCCCGGTGAACAGAGGCATGGGAGCGTGTGTGTGTGTGTGTGTGTGTGTGTGTGTGTGTGTGTGTGTGTGTGTGTGTGTGTGTGTGTGTGTGTGTGTGTGTGTGTGTGATACTTTTTTACTCATCTGTGTCTTTCTCCCAGCAGGTGAGTTTGGGCGTCTGTCATGTGGGTCATTCTGCCTGATCAGATGAGCGTGGGCGTTTGTCATGGGTCACACTGCCTGATCAGTGAGTGCGGGCGTCTGTCATGGGTCATTCTGCCTGGATCAGGTGAGTGCGGGCGTCTGGTCTGGGTCACACTGCCTGATCCAGGTGAGTGTGGGCGTCTGTCATGGGTCATTCTGCCTGGATCAGATGAGTGTGGGCGTTTGTCATGGGTCATTCTGCTTGGATCAGGTGAGTGCGGGCGTCTGTCATGAGTCATTCTGCCTGGATCAGGTGAGTGCGGGCGTCTGTCATGGGTCATTCTGCCTGGATCAGGTGAGTGTGGGCGTCTCTCAGGGGTCATTCTGCCTGACCAGGTGAGTGTGGGCGTCTGTCATGAGTCATTCTGCCTGGATCAGGTGAGTGCGGGCGTCTGTCATGAGTCATTCTGTCTGGATCAGGTGAGTGTGGGCGTCTGTCATGGGTCACACTGCCTGACCAGGTGAGTGGCGTTTCATGGGTCACACTGCCTGGATCAGGTGAGTGTGGGCGTCTGTCATGGGTCACACTGCCTGGATCAGGTGAGTTTGGGCGTTTGTCATGGGTCACACTGCCTGGATCAGGTGAGTTTGGGCGTTAACGTACAAACTTATGGTTTACTGTAAATAATAATAATAATAATAATAATAATAATAATAATAATAATAATAGTTTCCAAATCTAGAGTGAATTCGTTCAGTAATTACCGAGATATCACCCGAGAACTAATGACAAAGAAAAAGTTGCTTTCTTGAAAATAGCCTGGAGATGGGGAGAGATTAAGAGATGAGAAGCAGGGGGTGGTGAGGGGGGTGTCGTGTGTCACCAGCTGCTACCCATAGTTCCCCTCTTGCCCCGCCCCCCCTCCCTTCCTTTGCCACCCCCTCCACCCATCTGGATGAGCCGACAGGAAGTGCCACACTACCTCAGGTCGGCTGTTGGCTTCTGGCTCTTCCCCACTGTGCGACAGCCGGTGTGTGTGTGTGTGTGTGTGTGTGTGTGATGGGGTTTGGAAGCGTGTGGATGGATGGATGGATGGGTTTGGGGAGTGAGCAAAGTAGGTGTGTGGGGTGGTGGGGTTGGCAGCGTGTGGAAGGATGGTAGTGGTGGGTTTGAGGAGTGCACGAATAGTTGTGTGGGTGGCGGTTGGAGGAGTGTGTGTGGGTGGTGTTTTTTTTTTGTGAAAGAGGTGGTGTATATGTGTGTGTGTGTCAGTCTATCTGTGTTACGACTTAAGTTGAGGTAGCTAGATCTTAAGTAGTATAGACGGCCATGATGTAGGGTCAGGTTTATCACATTAAGGCAGAGGTCGAGATTAAGTTTACCCAAAATTGAAAAAAAAAACCATAATCAAACATAGGGGAAGTCCCAGATTAAAATTTACACCGAGTAAATTGGAACTACATTTACTGTACCAGAGTTACCATAGTTCAGGAACATCTGTGTTAGTTTTTATCTGGTTCGTATTAAAGTTTTGAGAAATTATGGCAAAAGTCATAAGAAATATTTATCTTATTTTCATTTTGGGTGTTGAGTATTGTTGAGGTGTGACTCGGGGTAAAAACTAGACCAGTCATTTGAAGGGCTTGTCCCACCCACTGAGAGTAGAATCTGTAATGTTAATCAACTACGTTATTGTATGAGGGATGACTGCAGGGCCTGACCACCACAGCTTTAGTTACTGTTAGAAAAATATTATACTACAAACAAATGGACGGAGAGGCAATAACAGCATCTCCCCGAGCATTGTATTGTAGGTCAAAGAATAAAAATGTACTGGAGGGGATGAAGGTTTTGAGCCGCACTGATGATCTCGTAATAAGTGAAGGAATATCCTTTTGGGGAATCTGTTGTTCAAGCCATCACACACGTCACTTTGGAACTATTCAAAAGAAGTAACTATATAGAGTAATGTTTTCTTTAACATGGGCAAATACAAGTACAATTATTGCACATTTAAGTATGCAGTACAGGTAATATCCTTGAGGTGAGAAAATAAAATGGAGTTTGTGTTTAACCTGGAGACCTGGGTATAAAAGGCTCTCGGGCATTGTAAGTCACAGTGAGTGCAAGTTATGTGCTAATTTTGCTAGGCGCTCTCCTGTGTATTGATGACAGCCCCAGCATATTCGGCTCTCCTGTATTTGTGCTTTAATTTAAGTATTGCTGGGTGTATGTGTAGGGGCGTTGGTGGTGCAGGACTGAGAAAAAAAACCGGGTCTCCTGTAGGATGGAGGGAAGGAGTGAGGGAGGAGAGAAGGACCCCATTCATCACAGTGAGGACAGAGACGTTTCTCACTCCCAGACTCACGTGTCACTCACCACGGCCTCCCGGTACTGGCTGCCTGCTTACGCTCCCAGTAGGTGGCTGGGCTAGCAGAATTGGGTGGTAGAGCCGGGCCCGATAAATTGGTTGGCCGGGCTAGTAGAATTGGTCGACTAGATTGGTAGCATTAAGTGGCTACGTTTGGAGGCTGGAATGAAAGGCTGGATCGCCGAGTGGTCGAAATGTGTGACCAGGCTATATGGGGCTGGTGTTGGTGGTGGCGTGTCGTAGCTGTGGTAAAGGTACGACTTGAATATATAGTGGTGGCGGCGGCGGCGGCTTGGATGGGAAGTAGTTGACTAATTGGATGGAAGCAATTGTTGTTGAGAGGTTCCTGAAGGTGGTTGATGGATGACCAAATAAGTACCTCGGTGTATACACGTCTGACTGTCTAACTGAAGGTCACAATGTACCATAATTGTCAGGCACTTTACATACAGACAGTTAACACAACCATGACAGGATAAATGACTTGTAAATATATGAGTTTTTGAGTAGGAATAGACACTCATCCCGAGTTACCGTATGCAGAGGCACTCACATCCCGAGTTATCGTAAGCAGAGGCACTCACATCCCGAGTTACCGTATGCAGAGGCACACATCCCTAGTTACCGTATGCAGAGGCACTCACATCCCGAGTTACCGTATGCAGCTGCACTTACATCCAGAGTTACCGTATGCAGAGGAACTCACATCCCGAGTTACCGTATGTGGAGGCACTCACATCCCGAGTTACCGTATGCAGAGGCACTCACATCCCGAGTTACCGTATGCAGAGGTACTCATAATAAATGTTTTAAACCTCCAACAAGCAATTACCATCATCAGACATTCTTCCTCACGCCAAACAAACTTTCCCCTGCCTTCTGCCTGCAGTGGCGTTTCTTTGTGTCAGATGGGTGGTGAGGTAATGGTTGTGCCCTGGACGTGAGGATGTGACCAGCAAGATGGTGAGGGGGACGGCATCTCCTTCACTCGTCCTGTTTCTGGCGGTGGTGATGTGTGGCGACGAGGAAGCTGTGTAGTGATAGTGGTGACGTTGATGCGGTGTGGTGGTGAGAAGTGTGGTGATAGTGGTGACGTTGAAGCTGTGTGGTGGTGAGATGTGTGGTGTTAGTGGTGGTGGTGGGGTGAGGTGTAGGATGATGGTGGTGGTAAAGTATGTGGTATTGGTAGTGGTGAGACGGATCACCAACTGATACTCAATATACATGACCCTCGAGTGTTACCTTCTTGTCACAGTATAATATTAAGAGATGAAAATGCGGAATTATTATGATTATTTTGTACATCATCTCCACCAGTCTTTACATTCTAGCCGAAAGTCATTGTGAATTCTGTCAACTTTGCCCATACTAAAGCGACGAACGTATTTACATGGTATGATGTATTGACAATACCGTAAAGCTCTCTTGGGTTATCCTATAGGTTGAATCGAGTTAATGTGTACCATAATTTGTTTACTTAGTACATGCTGAACCAGTGTGAGCTTGTGTGCTGATGTTTTTACCGAGTGATCATGTGTGTGTGTGTGTGTGTGTGTTATATAATTATGTTTGCATTTTTAAGTGGATATATTAATGTACAGTATACTATATAGTTTAAGAAGGGAGGGCGTGATGGTACAGAGAAGGAATTTATATATCTTGTTTGTATTGATGGATATAGTTATTTAAGAAAGGTGAATGTATTTAACGTGTGTATTAATGTATATACGTAATTGCTGAAGACGTCTAGGTTTATATTATGTATGAACTGATATATAAAGCACCTTATGTGTATAGTTCGTCGAGATATCTTCAAAAATGTTGATAAAACCTGACACATTTAGATGACTTATTAGATTTAAGGTCAGGTCAGGTCAGGTCAGTACAGAGAAAGGTTAAAGCATCTTAATTTGCACTCCCTCGAGAGACGTAGAGTGAGGGGCGACGTGATCGAGTTGTATAAATGGAAGTCAGGGCTGAACAATGGTGACATTACAAAGGTACTCAAACTATCCAACCGGGAGCGAACTCGTAACAATGGTTTTAAATTAGACAAATTTAGATTTAGGCGCGAAATAGGTAAACATTGGCTTGGAAATACTGTAGAGTAGTGGACGACTGGAACAAGTTGCCAAATATCATCATTAACTCGAATACGCTGGATAGCTTCAAACATAGGTTGGATGGATATATGAGCAATAGGGGTTGGGTGTAAATGAGGCTGCCCAGTATGGGCCAATAGGCTCGCTGCAGTTTCCTCCATTTTTATGTTCTTAGGTCAGGTCAGGCCAGGTTCAGAGTAGTGAGATCAGTTTGACATAGCAGAAAGAACTTATTTAGTGAGCATGGTGGGTGAGGAGAGAAGGGGTGTGGTGGGTGAGGAGAGAAGGTGAGGGCGTGGTGGGTGAGGGAGAAGGCGTGGTGGGTGAGGAGCGAAGGGGTGTGGTGGGAGAGAGAAGGGGCGTGGTGAGGAGGAGAGGGTGGTGGGGGAGGAGGGGCGTGGTGGGTGAGGGGAGAAGGGGCGTGGGGGTGAGGAGCGAAGGGGGTGGGTGAGGGGTGAGGGGCGTGGTGGGTGAGGGAGAAGGGCGGTGGGTGAGGAGAAGGGGCGTGTGGGTGAGGAGAGAGGGGCGTGGTGGTGGGGAGAGAAGGGGCGTGGTGGGGTGAGGGGAGAAGGGGCGTGGTGGGTGAGGAGGGGGTGGTGGGTGGAGAGAGGGGGGGTGGTGGTGCGTGGT